CCAACACAGGCAGCTCCAGGGGCTGCACAGCTCTGCAGCAGAGCCCTGATCCCTCCCCGGCCCTTCCCAAACCTCTGGCACAGGCAGGGACACACCTGAGCACAGCTGGGCACAGCTGGGACACACCTGAGCACAGCTGGGCACAGCTGGGACACACCTGAGCTCAGCTGGGCACAGCTGGGACACACCTGAGCACAGCTGGGCACAGCTGGGCACAGCTGGGACACACCTGAGCACAGCTGGGACACACCTGAGCACAGCTGGGCACAGCTGGGACACACCTGAGCACAGCTGGGCACAGCTGGGACACACCTGGGACACACCTGAGCTCAGCTGGGCACAGCTGGGACACACCTGGGACACACCTGGGCACAGCTGGGACACACCTGAGCACAGCTGGGCACAGCTGGGACACACCTGGGACACACCTGAGCACAGCTGGGCACAGCTGGGTCACACCTGAGCACAGCTGGGACACACCAGGGCACAGCTGGGCACAGCTGGGACACACCTGAGCACAGCTGGGACACACCAGGGCACAGCTGGGCACAGCTGGGACATACCTGAGCAGAGCTGGGCACAGTTGGGCACAGCTGGGACACACCTGAGCATAGCTGGGGCACACTTGAGCACACCTGTTCACAGCTGGGACACACCTGGGTTACACCTGGGCACATCTGGGACACACCTATATATAATATATATTATATATTATATATAATTATATATTATATATTATATATTATATATTATATATTATATATTACATATTATATATTATATATTATATATTATATATTATATATTATATTTAGAATTGTATATTAGTATATATTATATAATAATATAATATATTATTATCTGTTATATTTATAAAATTTTATATATTTTATATACTTTATATAAAATTTTATTTATATTTAAATTTTATTTTATATATATATTATATATATATAATGAAATGTATCTATTTTATTATATATATATTATATATGTGTGTGTATATACTATATATATTATTTCTTGGACTTGCCTGTTTTTAAAATGTAGATTTCACAGAAGCAGACCCAGTTTTTACATAGTTTATTAGCTTGTTAATTTTCAGAACTAGTCAGTTATTGGGGTTTTTTAAGCATAAAAAAAAAGTAGTTTAGTATTTTTTTTTCCAGAAAAATTATTTCTGTGGGTGATTTCTTCCTTCCTCGTTAGGTGCCAAGCAATGCAAAGGCAATAGCCAGACACCAGTCCCAGCTGCTGGAGCAGAGCTTCCTCCACTGGAGGTCCCCACCGAGCTTCTGGTGTCCCCCAGCTCTGCCCAGACTCACCCGGGGGTTCCTGCCCGATGGGGCTCTGCAGAGATCAGCCCTAAAAAGTGACCTGTCCTGGGCAGATCTGAGGTTTGGGGTGATCAGCCCTTAAATGTGACCTGTCCTGAGCAGATCTGAGGTTTGGGGTGATCAGCCCTTCCCAGTGACCTGTCCTGGGCAGATCTGAGGTTTGGGGTGATCAGCCTTTAAATGTGACCTGTCCTGGGCAGATCTGAGGTTTCCCAGCCCTTTGATTGCCCAGAGCAGGAGCTGAACCCGCTCTGGGTTCTGACTCCTCTCCCCCCACAGCTGCACACCCTGGCTATGTGTTCACAGTTCACAAGAAGTCATTTTAGCCCTTTCAAGGAATTAGCATCATCAGTTATAGGCTGCTATAAATTACCACAATGGTTTTCAACTTCACTATCCCAGTATTGGGGGTGGGGCGGGGTTTGGGGGGTTTTTGGGGGTTTTTTTGGTTTTTTTCTGCTTTTCTGTTGCTCCATGATCAGGTGGGTCAGAATCCAAATATCCAAATGTTCTGCAGCATGTTGGAGGGTTTGTGGCTCCAAGAGAGCAGCCAGCCACTTCTCTTCAGCAGCTGTTCCAGCTCCTCTAGGCAGCTTTCTGCTGGTAGCTTNCTCTCCATCCCCTCCTTTCCATCCCCTCCTCTCCATCCCCTCTCAGGCACACAGCCAGGGCTCACTGCTGTCAGCTTTTCCAGCTGATCTTCTCCACAAAGGAGAAATCTTGCCACAAACTGCTTTAAGCTCATGGAATAACTCTCCCTCCAGCTCTAAAACCATCTAACACCAAAGCTGCTGCTTTCTCCTCAATTAATTAACAAGTCCTGCGCCAAAAAACTTTTTCCTCTTCCTGAACTGTGTCCCACCAGTTCAGACATTCAGTTTTATGAGAGTTTCCAGACAGGGAAAAAAAAAATTCCCTTTGTGGTTTTCTTTCCTGGCAAAGGCTTTCCTCTCACATGTGCTCTGTGAATCTGTGCCCCACTCCTGCTCTGCCTCACCCAGACACCCCCAGCAAATGCAGAGCTCACCAGTGCCCACCTGCAGAGTGAAACCATATAGATATTATTAGTATTTATTTTTCCTTATTGGATCAGGCAACAGACCATTCAATTCAGCTCCCTTTAGACAGAAGAGTTGCTGGGCAAGGAGCCAGTCTGGATAAAATGAAATGGAAAGGAATTTGGTGTTAGGCAGGGCTAAAGGGCACCAGAGAACAAACACTGCTGGTTCTGGGACCACTGGGACTGGCTGTACTGGGACCATCAGTGGCCAGGGTGCAAATGCCATGCCATGGAAGGACACCTCAGCATCCTGAGGGCTCTCAGGATAATCCCTGCTCTGCAGTGAATATCCAGCAGCAGCTGGAAGCTATTTGGGCATTAGGATCTGTTCCAAAACCAACAGGGAAAACAAAAAAGCAACAAGAAATGAAAATCGTGGAAAGGGTTCCCAGGTCTGCTGAAACAACTGCTGCTGAAAGAAACCTGAGGTGTCTTGTGCTTGGTGCCTCACTGTGGCAGTACATTTACTCCTCTGCTTTGCTGGTGGTACAGTAGGTGCTGAAATAACACTCATTCTGCTTTGAGCTTTTTCCCCTTAATCCTTGATTAAAACCTGAACTGCAAAATAAAAAATATTCTGATGATGTCTGACCTTCAGAATGGGCTCAGTGATTTTAAATTCACAACTGGCATTTGATTTATCCATTCCCTTCCCCCCACTCACACTCACCCTGCCTCCACATTGTCAGAAAGTTCTCCAAAGGGATTCAAACAAGACTCTTCACCCCTCACATCTTCAGCCAATATTTGTCAGGGACTGTCTTGGGTGAGACTTTCTCTCCTGGGTCTTTACTCTTCAGTTTAGACCCCAAGAAAGCAGAGGAAGGCACTGCCATCACCTTGCAGACATTTCTGTGTTTCTCTGGCAGGGAGCAGTGAGCCTGGAGCAGGAGCAGCCCTTTCCCCCCTTGTGTAATCCCTGTGTCCTGTTTGCTGTGATCCAGGTGAGCTTTGTGCCTTCTGAGGGGGCTGAGGGAGAGGCAGGATTGTTTTCTGCAGGGCTGGAGAGCCAGAACAGCCTCTCCAAGGTGTTCATTCCTAACCACAGGGCCACAGAGAGGCAAAATCAGTGATTTGGGAGGGGTGGGGAAGCTCAGCCAGCACAAACAGCACAGGAGGCAGTGCCACTGGAGCAATTGGTGTGACAATTAGAAAAGGAGTTCAGTGGGAAGCCTGGAAATGCACAGGAGCTCCTCTCTCTGTGTTTGGGGACAGCTGTGCTCCAACAGCTGCTCTGA